GGGTAAGTCACTGCTCTATGATTTGATTCTCTAAGTACCTGAAGATTGACATAGATCTTCTTTTGTCTGGTTTTTTTGTAGGAGTTGGACAGCAAGTTCTGCCTGATTCAGGACGTTTGGACAGTGAAGGGTAATCTCCATGCATTTATTGGCGCGTCTGTATCCTTTATCAAGAAGGACTGGACTTATGTAGTTAGACATCTGAGTTTGAAGCTTGTTGCGTGGCATCACAAGGGGCACTTATTAGCTGTACCAATGGTGACTATCTTGAAGAAGAACGATCTTTATAAAAAGATAAGTTTTTCATTTTTCTTCCCTTTTTCTCTTTGAGTTACTCTTTTTTTTCTTTCGCTTTATCGTTTTCACATCCTTATCTTTCTTGCTCAGATGTACTGATATCATGTTTGATATTACATGCTCGCTGGTGTGTCTGATTCAGGCAGCAACAATATTACACTCGGCCGGGAAATGCAACGCCAGCTCCAAGAAGAGGGGCTCAAAACCGGTTTTGATTTCCCTTGGAAGTCGAAGTCTATGTCGGTTCGATGTTTTTGTCACAAAATGGGGCTTATTGTCAAAGCGGGGCTTGATGCACTTGGAATGAAACCCAGGCGCATCCGACATAGCGCCTTAGGTTGATTTCCTCCGGTAGAAGTCATGGCCGTTATTGATGAGGAAGAAGGGTTGGAAGCTGACGTTACCAACCAATCCGGAGCTGAATATCCACCTTCTGATGATGAAGTTGATGAAGATTGTTACTCTGATGACAATTGTAGCTCCAGTGATTCGGATTCCGATTCGGATTCCAACTCTGATGATGAGGAGCACGATCCGGAGCAGGAAGATGAACCGGAAACCTATCAAAACCATAAGACTGCTTACTTGCTTGGAGACACATACATGAAACAATTAAGTAAAGATGTAAGTTTCATTATTCCCTTGTTCATAGTTATATTGTCATCATTTCATTTTATTTCATCTTGCCTGCTTTTCTTTACTAATTACATCCCTCACTTCATTGACCTATATAGATGGACACGGTTAACAAAAAACTAACCCGATCCAGTGGCCACCGGGCCGATTTCAATTGGCGCCGTGAAAGAGAAAATGTCGAGCGCAAACGAGATGGCTTACCTGCCCTCAAGGCTCTTTTATCTGGCCATGGAATCCGATGGGGTATCCGCGCTGAGCGATGGGAACGTATGTGGGAAGCGCGAGATGTAGGTCACTCACTTTAACTCTTGTGCAACCTCGTGCTATGCTAATGAGTTTCTTCCTTATGAGTTTCTTCCTTTTCAGTTGATTGATGGGGTGATGAAAGAGGACTTGGCTGAGGTTCACTCAAAGAAGCGTCGTTCACGCAAGGACGGCAAGAAATATGGATATTTTGAAGAAGTCATATTTTTGGTGGCTGATTGGCAAGCCTTGAGGGATATGCTGGATATCCTCACTGTAAGTCTTTCAATATTTGATTATCTTAACTTGTTCATTAATACTGATTTGATTACATCACTCATACTTTGTAGCCATACAGGTTTTTGACTCGAGAGATGGAAGGTAATATTCCTACTGGCTGCATGGTACTGGTCAAATATGTTCAGCTCAAGGCAAATATGGAGGATCGATTGAAAGTGATGCACCTGAACAATCCGCTTTACCCAATGGTGTACGTCATGTTAGGCAAGATCAAACTATATCTAGACGAAGCACTTGCTTGTGATACATTAGTCCTTGCCGCAGTATTTCACCCTGGTTTACGTCTTTGCTTTTTCTCTCATGCATTTGGCGAAGGTTCTCCTGAGCAAGACCGAGCCGAGGCGTTATTAGAAGTAGAGTTTAATAGTGAGTGTCATAATCAAGAAGCTAAT